CTAAGAGACTTTTTTTTTTTTTTTTTAGTACTGGGGATTGAACTCAGAGGCACAGCTACATCCCTAGCTCTTTTATTTATTTATTCATTCATTCATTTAATTTGTTCTAATTAGTTATACATGACAGTAGAATACATTTCGTTTCATTGTACACAAATGGAGCACAACTTTTCTTTGATTGTACCTGATGTTGAGTCACACCATTTGTGCAATCAATACACAATGGAATATTACTCAGCATTAAAAGAGTAAAAATAAAATTATGGCATTTGCAGGTAAATGGATGGAGTTGGAGAATATCATGCTAAGCAAAGTAAACTAATCCCAAAAAACCAAAGGCTGAATATTTTCTCTGATAAGTTTATGCTGATCCATAATGGGGGGGAGAAGGCATGGGAAAAATGAAGGAACTTACTTTTAATTTTGAAACAGGATCTTGCTAAGTTGCTAAGGCTGTTCTTGAACTTCTGATCTTCTTGCCTCAGCCTCCTGAATTTCTGGGATTACAGGAGTAAGCTACCACTCCTGGCTGGAACTAAGAGATTTGTTTTTTTCTAAGAGACTTTTTAAATGACTAGTGTCATTAAAAAATAAAAATAAAAAAGTAATCTAAACAGTTGGCAAAAGAAAAAAATGTCATTTCTTTACAGGAAACATTTGTAATAATTTATGTATGTATATGCTACTTTCTTACAGTAGTATCAGAAGCTTGAAGTAGGATTAAATAACTTTATCCTATATTAATAAATTTTACATGATTTGACAAAAGTTTTTGGGAAGAAAGCGTTCTTATTAAACATTTGATGAAATAAAGTAGACCCTTTAATTGTTCAAGTGGTGACCATAAGAATAGTTCTAATATTTTATTCATTAATAAGCACTAGGATAGTTTTTAAAAAATATTTTTTAGTTGTAGAGGGACACAATCTTTATTTATTTTTATGTGGTGCTGAGGATAAAACCCAGTGCCTCACACTTGTGAGGCAAGCTTCACCACTGAGCTATAGTCCCAGCCTTTGGATAGTTTTATTACATGTATTTTTTATACAAAACTACATTTTATTTCTCTTATGAAGTATGGTTGCTGTTTGTTCACTTAAAAGAAAAGAGATAAAAAGCAATCTGGTGTGCAAGATAAACTGATTCCATTTTAAGTTGTGAATTATGAAGATATAAAATGGTAAATACTTTTCTGTGATTACATTTTACTGTGAGTTTACAAAGAAGGAAGAGAAGCCCACAATACTTACTGAGATACATAGAATTTAATGAGCTACAGAAGAATTTAAAAGTAGTTAAAAAACAAAAAGCTTCTGTGTAATGTTTTGAACGACCAAAAATAAAAAAAAAAAAAAAAAAAAAGCTTCAAGAGTTTTGCTGTCAACATACATAAGAGCAGAGCTGAATAGGGATCTTGGTATTAGGGAATTTGCTTATTAATGCACCAGCTTTGAAGCTGGAAATGTAATATTTTTATTATAAGAAAAAAGTAGTACACATTTATTTGTTTTATTAAGAACAAGCTAAATCTTGAATTTTTCATTATTTAAAACATGTTTTCTTGGAAGATGAGCATAATCAGCTATTAGTTTTTTCTACTGTGAGGTACTTGAGGACTCATTCATGGTCTGGATAACTCAAAGGTTCTTCATGTTCAAAAAATAACTATTTTTAAAACCTATTTTAAAATGTAATATTTTTATAAGGATATAAGGAAGGCCATGATAAACTTACTTCTACTGGTAAGAAAAATATGGGAATAAAAATAAATAAAAGAATGTCCCTGTACCTCAGTTTTTTTTTTTTAATATTTATTTTTTAGGTGTGGATGGACACAACACAATGCCTTTACTTTTATGTGGTGGTGAGGATCAAACCTGGGTCCCGCCCATGCAAGGCGAGCGCTCTACCACTGAGTCACAATCCTAGCCCTGGTACCTCAGGTTTTGTTTGTATAAATTTTAAAAGAGCAGTGCCAGTCATAACTTAATTAATACAAATCTAACAATTTCAAAGTCACGTTTAATGCAAGTAATTCCTACTTAGCATCTTCTTTAAAACGTAATATCCCAACTTTGGTACAGGAAAATTTTTTTCTAACATAAATTAAACATATTTATCATAAGCTGTTCTTTAACAGTAGTTAAAAAAAAACTTTGCAAACATGATTTTCTGGCAAAATTTCTAAGTACATAATTCTCATGTAAGGCACTTCCATTCATTCTCAAAAAAAAAGTTTCATAAAAAGTTTTCTATTTTCTTTTGTAATCAAGTTTTCATAAGTTATAAAGTAATTATGTTACTTCAAGTAAAACTTTATTAAATACTAAATTTTGGCATAATTGCCATAAGTATTTTTACCTCTGAAAATAATGAAGGATGGTCATCAAGTTCTGTGGAAGAGAAACTTAAAAGATAATCTTGGTCTATTTAGATTTAGAGAATTGGTAATGTTTTATCCTGTTGATTTTGTTCAACAATCTTGAAATCTTCCAAAGGAAGATTGCTTAAGGCAGTTGGTAAAATCTGTTCTGATGTGCCCTTAGGTAATATGTTATTTGCTTCTAAATTCTTCACCAAGCATGTGGCTTTGATCCATCTTCGAGTTGCTCTTCGTTCTTTTTGTAGGCAAGTTTTCATTTTTCTTCTTAAGCTTGCTATTTCCTTTTCCAGTTTAATTATCCTTTTTTTTGCCTCCATTGGATTCCTAAAGGCATAACTGTGTTCAAGTAGTACTTGTTGACTACTAATGTTTGATTTTAAATTAGATGGTCCTGCTGGAGTACAACTGTTGTTTTTCTTCAAAAGATTCCTTGACTTGAGTTTCTGAGCCAAATAAAATTAGAGAGTTGAACATAAATTATGGAATACCACAAATAAGTAAATATTGCCCAGTTTTGGAATAATTAAACTACACTTTAAGAACTGATTTTAAAAGTTTGCTGGGAAAACAGCAGGCTTTTTCATGTAATCATGGATCAAGTTTCTCGCCTGGCTGAATGAACTCTAGTCACCTTTTGTCCTTTATCTCCAGAGATATTCAAACATTGATTTTGAAATAAACAATGGACTGCCAAGGTATCTTCCAAATTACTGAGCATGATTCTATGGAGACTTTAAAAATCCTTTGCAATTTTCCTACTTAGGCCAATTTAGAAATGTAGACATTTTGTTTATCTGTGATAATTGCTTTGATTTCCTTTTTAGTTAAATACTATTCTCTCAATTTGATAAATTAAATACAAATTGAAGGAACATATTCTCAAGTATCAAGCTTCTAAATAGACTTATCTATTAATTGTTCACAGTTATATCTTCATGGATTTAAAATCTAGCTAAATTTTTGCAATCAGAAGTCTCAGGACACTTTTGTCCAATATACTCTAAGAATATCAAATGATTCCTAGATTATATCTTCATAACACAGTATCTTTCATTCATTACATAATCACTGAAACACTACTATGAATTCCTGGGGAAATAATGGTGAATAAATAAGACAAAGGTGATTCCTGTTCTCATTGAAACTGCAATTGCTCTCTACATAAGGAATTGGCAGGGTCTTTCTTTTTTGCTGTTTATATTTTCAGCATCTATCTTAGATTATTATTGGATGAATAGAATATCAAAATATCAGAAGTAAGGTACATTTTGCCATACTTGGTGGCACATACCTATAATCCCAACAACTTGAGAGGCTGAGGCAGGAGGATTGCAAGTTTGAGGACAGCCTCAGCAATTTAGTGAGACCCTGTTTCAAAAAAACAAAAAATGGGGGGGAGGCTTAGTGGGTAAAGCACCCCTGTGTGTAATCCCAATACTTGGGAGTGGAGTGCAGAAAAGAAATAAGGTACATTTTAAATTTAGCAGATATTTAAGTACTATATTATGTTTCAGGCAGTGTGAGAGGCTTAAGTGTTGAAAATAGTGAAAAAGTTCTGAAGCTTGTTTAACATTTGTGATGTTAGGAAACCAGAAGCTCCTTAATCATCCAGATACTCATATCCACTTACAGCATCCGCCCCCCACCCCCGGGGGGAGGGGGGGTGTTTCCCCCTTTCCACCGCCCCCCCCCCTACAAATTTAAGCATCACAAATACCTCAGGGAAAAGTGTTGTTTTTCCTTTCCAAAGAAAAGATGTCTGTCCTTTTCAAAGGGAAACCCCCTATTTGTGTTTATTCTCCCTTTTTTTTGTGTGACCTTTCTCTGATCAGATCTTAACTTGATAAAAATTCATTCATTCATCTCTCTTTTATTTATTTTCTCCTTCCATCAAAATATCACTTTCAATATTTGATAATTTCCCACTCATCATCAACCCAATGGCTTTGTTCTTAATTTCAATTATAGTTGTTCTGTACAAGATAAAAAAACCTCCCAAGTTCCAAGACTCTTTAAGTCCTCAAGTCTAGATTGAATGCTTCAGCTCTGTCAAATTTTCTATCATGCCTCCCTCTAAAGGGAGGCATTTCCTTTGGTATAACTTAGAATTTGTTGCTCTTAAAGCACTGGGGACATATTATATGCATGTCATCTTAAAATTGGAACAGAATGCTGCTGGAGTTGTATTACTACTATTTCTAAGTTTCACCAATGGTATATTTATTGATAATAATCAGTACTTGGATAATAATTGGTAAGATTCCAATACAGATCAAGTGTCCTTTGTTAGAAATGCTTTGGATCAGAAGCGTTTCAGATCTTTTTCAGATTTTGGAATATTCCATAGACTTTATCAGTTAAATATCCTTTATCCAAAAATTCACATTAGGACTGCTCAATCTGGATAGTAAAACAATATGGCTTGGTGAAATAATATTGGAATCAGGACATCTGAGTTCTAATTCTACCCTGTGCCTTTATTACATAAGAGGAAGATCTATAACTTTCTTGAGGCATATTGCTATATGTGAATTTTTCTATATTCTGAATTTTATCTTCTATAAATAAAAAGGAATGGTTTCTAAAAATGGTTTTTTAAAAAAATAACATTACATACCATAGACTTTATATGGGTACAAAAATCAAAAATGGTTGGAACAGCATCCATTTTAAGTCGTCGAGTTTGTCCTGTTAGGTCAAAACAGGAGGCTTCAAAGTGCTTTGAACAAAGAAAAGTGTGTTTTCCTGGTACAAAGTTTTTGCGTCTAACTAGGCGAACCCATTCTTTTCTTCTTTTAGGATCCAAAGGAAACCTTAAAACAAACAAACCAAAAAGGCAACTCAAATTCCAACTAGCATACTTCTGGCTGTACCTAAATGGTTAAAAGAAATTTAAAAGTGTCTCCCATTTACATAAAAAAATTTAAACTCATAATATCCAGATATAGAAAAGAAACCAATTCATGCTGAGTTTTATAAATTGTTAAAAAAATTATAAAAAATGATTGAGCAGATTTATTTTTCACAGACTTTTAAAAGAGACATTTCTTACCAGTTCTTAACATGGATAGTAAAATAAAACATGACTAAACTTATCTAGATAAATTTTATGTAGAACTATTATAAGCAGCAGCAAATTCACAATGCTGTGATTTGTGCTGGTTGCATAAAGATTAAATTTTATTAAGGAAAGTCTGGGAAGATTCTGGCACTCCTTCCTGTGTTCCATAATTATAATACCACAGTATTCTGTAATTTTTCCATTTTAATAAATTTCCAGTAAAATAAATTGTTTCTTGAAAATAGGGACCATTATTATATTTTTAATTTATTTATCTTAGACACCTAACACAGTATCTTGCAAATACAAGGAAATCAACAAAAATTTGCTATATTAATATGATACAGATATTTATTTGCTTATATTTTTTATGGTACTGCCGATTGAACCCAGGGCGCTTAATCACTGAGCTACATCCCCAGCTCTTCATATATATGTATTTTAATTTTGAGTCAGGGTCTCACTAAGATACTTAGGACCTCCCTAAGTTGATGAGGCTGGCTTTGAACTTGCAATCCTCCTGCCTCAACCTCCAGAGCTGCTGGGAGTACAAGCACATGCCACCCTGCAGGCTTTATTTTTTGAGACTAAGTTGCTGAGGCTGGCCTCAAACTTGTGATCTTCCTGCCTCAGCCTCCCAAGTAGCTGGGATTAGAGGCATGTGCCACTGTGTCCAGCTGAATACATAATATTTCAATTAATTCACTGTATTATTTCTATGTAGTTAAACTATATATATATATATATATATATATATATATATTTAAACCAACTCAATTTATATAGTGTAGCAGAAAGTAAAATTAGAAAAACTCAAAATGCCATTCACCAATGTTTTTCCCTTCATATTTCTCTCAAAAACCAAATAACTGACATGTACCTAATGTATACTTGTTAAGGAAGAGACAAATATACAAGGGCTGTCTCTAAAAATCTACTAGTAACTGTGATGACTGACTACTCTTCTTTAGTTTAAGTATTAATTATGAACTGACTTGTATATAAAAAGAACCAAAAAAAAAAAAACAAAAACAAAAAAAGGATCATAGCTAGGGATATAGCTCAATGATAAAGCACTTGTCTAGCATGTGTGAGGCCCTGGGTTTGATCCCCAGCACTGTGGGTGGTGGTGGTGGTGGGGCTGAATAATCCACATCAAATATGTGCTTCAGAAATTCTGAAGTGAAACTTCAGGACTTTGGAGGTAATAGATTTTATACTATCCTATATAGTCCTAGTTTTACATTGCTAGTGATGACAGACACAAAGAGATGAAAGTCCAAATTTCGAGTAAACATTGCCCATCTCCTGTCTTCAAGGCTAGTCTCAGCAATTTAGCAAGACCTTGTCTCTAAATAAAAATATTTTAAAAAGGCTGGAGATATGGCTCAGTGGTTAAGCACTCCTGGGTTCAATCCCTAGTACCAAAATCAAACAAAACTGAACAAAACTAAAACCCAAAATCTTTGTTCCATTATTTTAGTGGTTTGGAAATGTTTCCTAATCCAAAGATAAAAATCAGACCTTAGTTAATTTCTTCTTGGGGTTTCAATGGAGACTCAAAACAAATAAATACAATCACTGTATTTTCATTTGCATAAAACTCTTCAAATACAGAAAGACTGTCTTTCAGATGTTATTTTTCAGCTGGATTTTTTTGGTACCACAGATTGAACCCAGGGGCACATAACCACTGAACTATACTCCCAGCAGCTGGGATTACAGGTGTGTGCCATGATGCCCTGCTCAGCTTCTTATTTATTTATTTTTGGTGCTAGGGATTGAACCCAGGGCCTTGTGCATTCGAGGCATGTACTCTACCAACTGAGCTATATCCCCAGCCTCTTATTCTCTTTTTAAAAGTCCTGTTTTAAAACTGTTCCTTAATTATGAAACCAGTGCGTCAAATGGAACCTTAACTTGACCATATCGTGCTTGCTTCTTTTAAGACTTTTAGGAATCCCATTTTACTAAGAACATTTTTTCTTTATCAGAAGACTGGGATAGATGTTGCTATATCATATATCACTGAAATCACCATATTCTAATTATTTACCTTTCTGGCTCCCCATTAGATTTTAAGTTTCTGCAGAGTGAGGTTTAGGTTTTTGACTACTTTATCCCTGGGTCTATCATCATTATCTACCATAGTGCCTGTTAAGCACTTGAATGTTTTTGAATCAATAAATAAATGAACTAATGGGGCTAATGTGGCATTATCGAACAATCTTTAGATTATCCATGCTAAAATAGAATAATAATCAACAATTTTATATTTGATTTTGGTATAATTTTATATAGCATTAATCTTAACCAGGTTTTGTATGTGTCATCTGAAATTTTCACAGTATATTTAAAGGGTAGAAGATGTAGCCATCAGCCAAATTTAAGTAGTAATAAACCATCTTATAAATATTAAAAAACTAACATGGTGGTAACATATATTCTTTTTTTTTGTTTTTCTTTCATTTTTTAAATTGATTTTTAAAAAATAAATGACAGTGGAATGCATTACAATTCTTATTACACATATACAGCACAATTTTTCATATCTCTGGATGTACATAAAGTATGTTGACACTAATTCCTGTCTTCATAAACGTACTTTGGATAATGATGTCTATCACATTCCACCACCCTTGCTAATCCCCTGCCCCTTTCCTTTCCCTCCCACCACTCTGCCCTATCTAGAATTCATCTATTCCCCGCCTGCTCCCCTTCCCTACCAGATATATTCTTATCTGTTGAACAAGAGAACCAGGCTTTTATGAACATGATGTTTTGGAAATAACTCAATAATTTGAACAATGCTATCTTCCTTGCATCTTTAATAAATAGTTGACTGCCTCTTATGTTCCTTGGCACTGACGACATGGCTGTAAACAGTTTTGATGTCTGTCATCTTAGTGTATATATAATGTAGTGGGGTAAAGAATCAAATAGAGGTAGACAACAAATGACTGACAACATTGTCTTTGGACAAACCAGGACTCCAATACTGGTTCCTTTTCAATAATAGCTAGGAGACTTTAGGCAAGTTACGCTTTTTTTTTTTTTAAACATTTTTAGTTGTTGATGGACATAATACCTTTATTTTGTTTTATGTGATACTGGGGATCAAACTCAGTGCCTCACATGTGCTAGGCAAGTGCTCTACCACTGAGCTACAACCCCAGCCCTGCAACTTAACTTTTTTAGTTCTTGTTTTTATCTACAAAGTAAGGTAAGAATGGCTCTAACAATTAAACATAAATGCCTAACTAAGGCACAGTGCATGGTAAATACTAAAGTTTACTTATTATTATAAAAGTAATAATTGTTATGAATATTATAAAAAGTATATGTACAGGGCCATATAGAATCATAAAACAGAAAGGGCTCATGAGTCAGGAGCCCTCAAGCTGGGCATGGTGGCACACCCCTGTAATCCTAGCAACTGAAGAGGCTGAGGCAGAAGGATGGCAAGATCAAGGCCAACCTCAATAACTTAGTGCGATTTTGTCTCAAAATAAAAAATAAAAAGGAATGGGGATGTAGTTCAGTGATAAAGTACTTCAGTACAAAAACAAACACTTAAAAGAATAGGAATAGCTAGTGAAGCTAAATGGGATTAGTGAAGAGTGTTGAGTATCTTGGGGACAGGAAATGTGATATGACATGAGATGATTCTGGAAGGCCAAGTCCAAGTTTTTGAAGTTTGTCCAAAATGGCACTGGTAAGCCATTCAAGGGCTGAATTATAAAAGCTGTTAACAGAGAAAGTTTGAACTGGTTGTTAAATATAACCATTACCACAAATTGATTTATACAAATTCACAAATAAAATCCCAAAGTAATAAATACTAAATACCCAAATTTCCTAATTATTTTATTATTTTCTAATCTTTTAATGTTATTTATGTCTAGTATCTTTACGGTAGAAATACTACAGAATAGTATATCATATATCTCTTCTCAACTCCATATCAGTTATGTCACATTGGCAGCTTGAAACCAGACTTCAGGAAGTTAGGTAAACATTATAAATCTGGCCTTTCCACTTCTCAGGACAGCCAGTTGTTAAACATTTAGCTACACACCATTGATTATATTAGATTGGTTAGTAGTGCATGAATGAAAGCACTGAACCAATTAAGAGGCTGTTGTAATAATCAGATCAAGAGGGAATGTGAGAAGTCAAGGGATGCTGACTTCTAAGTATCCAGGTAGAAGGTGTTTCCCTTTACTGAAAATCAGAATACAGAAGTGGTCTTTGTTTGTGGGATTGGAAATTCACTATGAATATTGAATCTGCTGGACTGGCAGGAGATGTGAAGATCTAGATTAGGGAGTAGGGAAAAGGGCTAGCAGAACAAATCTGAAGATTAGCCAAAGAAGAAAATTACACAATTATTGTCAGTAGTCTGAAAGTATAGAGTATTTCAAGGAGGAAATTATTAGAAGAATGAGTGTGGAGAAAGACATGTAGTAAGGGCAGTTTCAGACTATTAAGGAGACTTAGACTGGAGTAGGCTAAAAGGTAAGAAAAGTGGAGACTGTAGACTTAGGCAGTATCATTTGTACAGGGGAATAAAGAAGTCTGCTATGTCCTGGGTGGAAAGGCGTTAATTAAATGGTTTTATTTATGAAACAAGAATTTGTTTTTATTATAGTTATTTCTACTTTAAGACCTGAATTACTCAGGATACACATAAAAATTTTAATTTCATGACTAAGTGCATTATCATACATACCATCATCTCTTAAACCATAATTAGTGTCTGGACTTCTCCCTTTCATCTTCCATATCAGATTACCAAATCCAGTAATTTCTCCTCAATCATTTCTCAAATCTGTCCAATTCTATCCACCCCTACTATTAATACCATGCAACTTTAGCTGGGCCACTGCGTAGATGCCTATTGACTACAGTTTAATTTGTGGCTATAAACTCTCACCTCCCCTAATCCAGCACTCTTTGTGTTAGTAAATTAATTGGTAGCATTTAGTTCAGCTGACACTGTAGCAGGATTTCCTTGTGAATGAAATAGTAAGTAAATTAACATTCTATAATATGCTGCTTTCTCATCAAATTCATTTCTAATGATGCTTGACTAGCACCTAATTCTCTAATTGTCCACACTGCAGGAGGCTTAATATGCAAATCTAATCTTGTCATTATTCTTTTTAAACTCTCCATGACTTAAGTACTCTTAGAATAAAATAGAATTCTTAAGTAACATACAGGACCAAGTCTTTCATACTTTGGTCTCATTTCAAATGTCACATCCTTTGAGAAGTGTTCTTTCCAAGGCTAAGTTAGGTCTATCTAAAACAAAAATTTTTTTGGTACAGTTAATTATTTATGTCTTTCTTCCCCATTCAACTCCAAACTCTAGAAAGTTAAGAACTTTCTGAATCCTTAACACAATGTCAGGCAATTAGGAATTCAGTATATATTCGATGGATGAATGAATAAAGCACTACATTTGCATTAAGTAGTTTAAAAACAAACATCACAAGAATTTTTTTTTTTTAATGGTAGCTTTAGTAATGGGTGTGCTTTTAGTAATAGTGAAGTCGGGAAAAGGTTAAAGATATGATTTTCTATATACTGATATTATATAAGTTCTGAGGTATATAAAATCAGAATTGTTTTCACTTAACTTTTTAATATTTCTTTTCTTTGGCAGGTGGAAGGCACCTGAAGAGAAGATGAACATGTACCAAGTACCTATTATATGCCAGGCAGTCTTCAAAGTGCCTTCAAGAGTTCTGATTTGACAGAGTTAAAGAATTTGGATTGCTTTTCCAGCAAACGGAAGGAGAAATAAGGCCTCGGTTCTTTTTATTTCTCTGTTAAAGAAAGCTTACTTATGTTTTGTTCTTTCACTAATTGCTTCATTTTATAGCTATCAATTATGACTCAGTTCCTCCGCAGTTATTGTGTGTGTGTGTCTATTAGAAATTTAAATGCTTCCCATGTCATTTCAGCTAGTGAGAATTCTCCAGTTTTAATGGGAACATAGCAGGCTTTTCAAAAGGCGACTGTTGACTGGAAGAGGGTAAGATCCTCTCCCTTATGGCGTCATTCTTATCAAGACATGGACTAATATTTAGGAGCAAAGAGTGGAAAATTAAGGTATCCTGCTGTCACTTTCTCTAAGGAGTAGTCACCGTACAGTACTTGGATTTCTTTTAGAAAACGAGTAAAACTTTCCCTGAGGGAAAAATTGGACAGATTTGAGAAACACAAAGGACAAAAATGATGTCTTCCTTGTCACTAGTTGGGAAAGTTGGTAAAAATTAGAATTCTCCTGTTCCTTCTACACAAGCAATACTCAGACTAGCATCTCCCACTTCCGTCACCCCCACTCCCTCCCCAGGTTACCTGTGGAAGCTGATGTTAATATGCTTGTTGTAGGTAGTTGCACAGCCCGCTGCGGCGCAATTGGTCGGCATTTCCCTTTACCCCTCATTCGGTGCTATCTTAAGCCTGTTCTGAGCTGCTAAGCTTTCTTCCGACAAAGGCTAGACAACTGAGGCAAGCGAAAGGCCCAGCAAGCTTAGTCGCGAAAGCAGGGTGGGAAAATGGGTGTGTATGGAAGGAGGGTTGCAAAGGAGGGTCAACCTTCCCTTTCTCTTTAATAATATGGCGGATTTGCGCCGGCAGAGCCAACCATCCTGGAGCTCTAGGCGCTTTCGTCTGCCTTCACCAATATGGCGGACCCCCCTCCCCGGTTCCCAGAAGGGAGTATCTTTGGCAGTGGTCCTCGGAGCAATTGAAAGACAGAGGTGTTTTCCCCTCGGATTACCACGAAACGTTCAGACATCTGCAATAAGCAGGTCCGCCCACCCCGGCACGCACCCAGTTGTCCCAATTCCGAGCTTGGGGTGGGTGTGAGCCGTAGACCCGAAGGGCGAACCCGATGACAGGCGAGAGACTACATATCTCGGCGAGCACTGCGATAGTTGTCAGTATCGCGTGAGCTGGGAACCTCGTTTCCTGCGTGCTGTAGGAAGTGACGTCTCGGACACCGCCGCTTCCACTGCCCCCATCTCGCGAGGCGGAAGAGCCCTGATCGCGGAGGAGCAAGGGGGTGCTAGGAGAGGGAACTGGCTTGCGACGGTCCGGCGAGAAAGAGCTGGGGTGCGGGCAAGTTGGGGAGCAGAGCCCGCTAGGTGTCTGAGTACGGTAAGGCCGCACCTATCGGGTCTGTTAGTAAAGAAAGGAGCCGAGGAGAAAGGCAGTTGTCGGGCGGATCCCGGACGGAGGGCTAAGGTTGTGTGGAAGGTGCTGCTCCCCGGATGGCGACCGCTGATACTTCGGCCCCGGCCTCCAGTGGCCTCTCGCCGAAGGAAGAAGGGGAGCTTGAAGATGGGGAGATCAGCGATGACGATAACAACAGCCAGACACGGAGCCGGAGTAGCAGCAGCAGCAGTGGCGGCGGCCTGTTACCGTATCCGCGGAGAAGGCCTCCTCACCCGGCCCGGGGTGGTGGATCCGGCGGAGGCGGTGGCTCTTCCTCGTCATCGTCCTCTTCTCAGCAGCAGCTGAGGAATTTCTCACGCTCGCGGCACGTCTCTGAACGGGGCCACCTCAGGGGACATAGTAGCTACCGACCCAAAGAACCATTCCGGTCTCATCCGCCCTCGGTGCGGATGCCTTCCAGCTCACTGTCCGAAAGCAGCCCGCGGCCGTCTTTCTGGGAGCGCAGCCACATCGCCTTGGACCGTTTCCGCTTTCGAGGCAGGCCTTACCGGGGTGGTAGTCGCTGGAGTCGGGGGCGAGGCGGGGGTGACCGAGGCGGCAAGCCGGGGGGCAGACCTCCTCTGGGAGGAGGAGCAGGATCCGGATTCAGCAGTAGTCAGAGCTGGCGAGAGCCCTCTCCACCTCGGAAGAGCTGTATCCTTAACGTGGCGATCTGCCCTGGGTGTGTCACTCAAAGTTCCCTTAAGCGTCATTACTAGGTCTATGAGTGTAACTTTTCAGAACCGCTTAATTGTTCTTGTGTCAGTATACTTAAAGTAAGTTGTTCTTTGGTAATTTCCATGTGTCACTCTATAGCAGTGTTTCTTAGATTGCTTTATTGGGTAGATTGCTTTTTAACCTTAAATGTGTTATGGATTGAAAGCTATGGAATCAAATATGATCAAATCAGTATTGTAAGAAGCACAAGTTTTCATTAGCATTTTTTTTTTAACGAGTACAGTAAGTATTTCAAGTGAATTTGACTTAAGATTGTTGGATGAAAAATAGTAAACAGTTTGGGGAATGCTGTTACTTGAATTTTGTGCACTTTGACATTGGAAATTGTGAAGCTTGATTCTGCATAATCCTATCATTCTGATAATTCCTTTTTTAAAAGCCTTTTTTGAGTTATTCTTTCCCACTGATACCTTCTAAAGTGGAAAAGAAAAAGGGGGGGGCTCAGTGTCTTTTCCTGTGTTCACTTTTGGGTATTTTATAACTGGCAGTGCTGTCTAAATGTGGACTACAGAGAAAAATAAACTTGCCAGCATTTTTATTTTAATATATTAGAGTGTGGGATTGTGTTGATTATGGAAAGACAGAAGGAAAACAGCAAAATATCTTAAGATTTTATTTCCTCTGAATTTATTTTCAGTGATTTTTAACATTGCAGAGTTAGAAATACTAAGAAATTAATCATCTCAAGTTTTCTTGGTTTATAGAACTGTGTCTTGACTCTGATAACTGTAAAATAATTTACTAAGGATTTTCATGACTAATTGTAATTCTTATGGTGCAATGATTTTAATATTTTCATTTATTCAAAGTTTATATTTAATAACTTTTTAATATTTATTTTAGTTGGACACAATACCTTTATTTTATTTATTTATTTTTATATGGTACTAAGTATCGAACCCAGGGCCTCGCACAAGGGCTCCACTGATGAGTCACAACTCCAGCCTAGTCTTCATTATGAAGTTTATATATAACAACATTTAATTGGAAAACCTTTAAAATCATTTTTATAGAATACTTAGGGTCAGAATGGTTTTTCCCAGGTGTCATGATGAAAGGGGAAAGACAGGTTTAGGTTAAAAAAAAAAACAAAAACAGGTTGTGGTGTTGGTGCCCTGAAAAAGTTGTTTCTGCACCTAAACATTGGGTTAGGGGTATTTTAAAATTGTTTCAGAGAAAAATCATGTAGGTATTTAACTTTTTTTTTAATTGTTGAGGAACCTTTAATTAATTAATTAACTAATTAGTTAATGGTGCTGAGAATGGAACCCAGTGCCTCACAAAATGCTAGGAAAGTGCTCTACCACTGAGCTTAGAAAACCTGTGCCCAAGATTTTTTTCTCCTCTAGATTTGTTTATTCTGAATCCAAATAAAACAAAACAACAAAACAACAACAAAAAAAACCTAAAGGGCTATTTAAGGATAGAGATGAAACTGTATTTTTGTTGGAGAGACAAATGAAAGTAAATGTAGCTTTCTAAAAAAGTTCAAGTTGAGTTATATTAAAAGTATTATGGGCACTCAAAGCTTTTTAAAAATCTATTTTGTATAAGAAAATGGGGGAGAACAGAGTGTTCACCCACCTCCTATCTTTGTTTAGGATCCTGCCAAGTTGCTTAGGCTGGCCTCAAACTTGCAACCCTCCTGCCTTAGCCTCCCAAGTCGCTGGGATTATAGGCATGTGCCACCACACCCATCATCTTTGTCTTTCTACTCATTTGGTACCAGTTTGGGCCTCTGCCATTTACCTTTGCTAATTTTTCTGTTTACATGCTTTTAGTAATAAATAGGCATATGGAATTGCAACAAAAATATAGGAAAGCATCCAGTCTTCCTGTGTGACTGATTTCTGTAATAACTTGTCAGAAACGAGCTATCTTGCTGTTTTTCCTTTCACAGATGCTGTACTTTAAGAAAAGGACACTTGTTTTGATATTCTGCTCATTGTTTTTCTAATGAAATGTCATTAATCCATCCTAGAGGTGGTGGCTTTTATAAGATTTTGACAAGGAATGTGAGCAAACAAAATTTGTAATACAAACCTTTAAATTCTTTTAATATCAGTGTTGTTCTCAGTTTAATTCATATTTCCACTGTGTAATTGTAAAAATACTTTTTATTTTACAAATATTGTGTAAAGAAAGAATGAAGGTAATTCTATGGCTCACTTTAGTAATCTACAAATGAGGTAGTCTGAATATAGATTTTTTTGGGGGGCGGTGATAGTTTCTTTTTTTGTAATTATGAAGATATGCTAGTTTCAATTTTAAAGAAACAGAATAAACCAGAACCTATTGCAACTCTTCACTTATTCATTTTTATTTTTTATAATGATAAGACACTTTGTCAGTCTTAGCCTAAGTCTCCCTTGGTTGACTACTGTTTTAAACTTTCAAATTGGATGAGAGCTAACATAATTAGGCTAGTGTGTCTCATCAGTAAAAAGTCTTTGAATTTTCAGCTGTAGCAGAATAGGTTGAATAGCGGTCCTTTTTTTTTTTAAAGACAGATTTTAATACCTGTTTTTTGAAAGCATTTCTTTTTTAAAAGTTCTGTTAGAAATTAGATTTAAGAAGCTTAAAATTAGATCTAGTAAGTGTTGGTTTGATTCCTAGTTATATATTGTATAGACAGAGATAGGATATTAGTCTTGAAGGAGGTTAGTTACAGTCATAACTCAATTCTGTTTCCTCATTTTTCTATTCTTTAGTTATTTTATATATTCTTTTGTTAGGGCGAATCTTTCCCCTTTGCAATTGTTTCCAAGGTCTTTAATTTTATTTTTATTACTCATTTGTGCCTTTAGATGGCCCCATTGAAAAGCCAGCTATAAATGTAGATAATTGCAGTGTTTATGTACAAAGAGTACATAGGAATGGGAAGGGAAGGATAAATAGTTTTGGCTCTGAAAGGGTGGTGACTTGAATTGGGGTCAAGTTGAACAGAAACCTAGATATAAAGCTGCATAAATGTGATAAGCAGGAAGAAGGTAAGACTGGAAAGGTAAGCACAGGTCAGATCATAAAAGCATTGTATTCATGCTAAGGATTTTGGACTCTTAAATGAGATTTAAGCAAGGGGAGAGATCTTATTAGATTTGTATTTGTATCCGTACCATGGCAGCAGTATGGATCATCGTTTGTGGGTGCTAGAGAACCCAAAAGTCTTAAGAGGCTGAACTCCTCACTTGTGGCAGCTAAAACTACAGAAGTACATTAGAATGTTCCTAATGAAAAGAGAATCTTACTAGAGTTCACTGGAGAGCACATTATTAGTTGGAGAGAAAGAAATCATGAAGCTTTAAAAAGGTAAGAGAAAACAGAAGGACAAGTGGAAGTTATGTAAGCCAAGAGAGCAATGGTTTATAGTGTCAGATGTTACAGAGAGGTCAGGTAAAGTAAGACTTGAAAATACTGGTGGATAAGCACAGCCAGAACAGCTTCTTTTGAATTATTGAGACAAGCCAGATTCTGTTTGGTTGGAGCATAGGTAAGAGAGCCCTTGAAAAACTTGTATTCTTTTAAGAAATTTGGTACTGAAGAGATCAGAGAACAAAAGATTTGTTACAGTAGTTTTGCTGAAGATTTTCAATTGTAAAGCTTATTTATTTTCTAATATTTGATGTTGGTTCTCATTCTTGGATTGGTCATCAGAGGAGTTTAAAAATCTTTGCTGGCTGCTTGTCCTGTTACTGTATTTAGGAGGTATAATGTTATATCCTAACCCTTACAAAATGATCTGAAAATGATTTATTATATTAAAACCACAAAAAGTGTTCGTCTTTTTCCTTGGTAATTTCCAGGCTGGAAAAAGGTGTAAAAATTCTGTATGAATTATTTGAAATTAGAAAATACATTTTGAGTGCTATTTAGGGATTTTCCTTATTTTTTATTTGCAACTTACAATTATTCAAATTGTGAATATGATGAATGTTAGTATCTTGATGAGCTCTGAGCTTGTTATG